CTCTTAATTGCTTGATGAGTTTTTTCTAATTTATCCTCTTCTTGGTGATAAATAAGTATGTAGCCATCCGGCTGAACTTCAATGGTTGATCCAGTTTCCTCGGTCAATTGATTAATAGTTTTGCCTCGGGGTCCAATAATTAATCCTATTTTTTCTTTTTCCACGTAAAAACAACGGCATTTGATAACTTGGGTTGGTAAATTAGGGCGGGGGTGATAAATATGACTTTTCATTTCTTTTAACAAATGAAGTCGGGCTTGCCGAGCCTTTTCAAAACTAATTTTGATTAATTCTTGACTAATCCCCTGATTTTTCACATCTAATTGGATGGAGCAAATGCCCTTTTCAGTGCCGGCAATTTTAAAATCCATTTCTCCTAATTTGTCCTCTAAACCATTAATATCGTTATAAATCTGGCCTTCAAACAAACCCAGAGCTATCCCAGCCGCCGGTCTAATTAGTGGAATCCCCGTGGCCATGAGGGACAAAGAGGTGGCACAAACCGAAGCCTGAGAAGAGGAACCATCTGAGGAAAGAACTTCCGAGACCGCTCGAACCGTGTAGGGGAATGTTTCAGGCGAGGGAATTAGATAATCAAAGGTTTTTTCCACCAACTCACCATGACCAATTTCCCGTCGGGAAACACTTCGATAACTGGCAATTTCATTCACGGCAAAGGAGGGGAAATTATAATGGTGAATAAAATGTTTATGAAAGCGGTTAAAAATACTGTCAACTAATTGTTTTTCACTAATTTTCCCCACGGTTATTATTGAAAGAACCTTGGTTTCCCCCCGGGCAAAAACCGCACTACCATGAACATTTGGCAAATAGTCGATTTGAATTTCTAAGGGACGAATTTGGTCGGCTCCTCGGCCATCCAACCGCACCTGTTTTTCTTGTCAGAGTTTCCGCATTCAGTTCCGCAGGCAATCATCTCAAAATTCTTCTACCAAGTCTTTCGCAAATTCTTCTTCCAACTGGGGATTTGCAGCATAATATTCCCTGGTTAATTCTTGCCGAACCTCTTTCATTTTTTTTTCTTTTTCTATTCATGAAAGATTTGGCGTTAAAAGAATTTCACCTAAATAAGAATTTCCTTTTTCTTCTAACCACTTATCACTAATATTTTTTTCTAGTTTGGAGTCTTTTTTTTCTTTTTTAACTCCTAAACTGTTGGCAATGTGTTGAAAAAAACCAATTAATAATTGAATTTCTTGGTGGGCGAATGAAATGGCTTTTTCTAATTCTGCTTCGCTTATTTCGTGAGCCCCGGCTTCCATCATAGTAATTTTTTTCTCCGTCGCACTAACGATTAATTCTAATGGGGAGTTATCTAATTTTTCATCACTTGGATTACAAATAAATCCTTTTTCATCTTTACCGACAATCACGGCGGCTAACGGGGTAGAAAAAAAAGGCAAGTTAGGTGAAAGATAAGCGACCAAAAAAGAATTTCAAATACTAACTATCCGTGGGTCGCATTCCTGGTCAAACGAAAGGACGGAATTAGTTATTTGCACTTCCTGCTGACTTGGAAAAGAAAAAAAACTTCGCAATGAACGGTCAATTAACCGAGCGGCGGTAATCGCATCATAACTCGGTTTACCTTCCCGCTTACCAAAGACATTCGGAATACGACCTATGGCGTAAAATTTCTCCTCAAAAGTGATAGTGAGGGGAAAAAAAGAATTAACACTTTTGGTTAATTTTTTAAGGGTTAAAACGGTCAGAATAGTAGTATTACCATAACGACAAATAACCGATTTATCACTCTTGCTGGCTAATTGGTCGATTTCAAAGACTACTTTCTTATTATGAAATTCAAATTCAAACCTACTCTTTAACTTACCAGGAAAATTTTCTTTAAAGGCACTTCCGCTCATATAAGCATAATTTTAGCAATTAAGAAGTTTTGAGAAAAGAAATTATCACACCTTTAACCTCAATTATTAGGGGAAC